CCAACTACTACAACAACCCTGCCATCCGCAAGGTAGGTACCTTGCCACCACAGCTGCACCTGGCCCGGCGGTACCGCAACCCCTTTTGCTAGCTGATGGCAGCTGGACCCCTGCCTTCCCTGGGCCCCTTCCCGCACCCTCCCGCTCACCTTCCCGCTGGCTGCCCCGCACCCCGCAGGCCCTGAGCAAGGAGGGCTACCTGTACGACACCTCCCTGGTGGAGCGCTACTACCCCAACTCCCCCACCTCCCCCTCCGTCTCCCAGGTCCTGTGGCCCTACACCATGGATGCGGGCATCCCGCAGGTGGGTGGGGCAGGCAGTGGGGTGGGGTGAGGGGGCCCACACTCGCCCGCGCCGCCTTTGATGCTGGTTCCTGCCCTGCTGCATCCTGTCTGCCCAGCCCTGGCCCCGCTGCCCGCCCACCTCTGCCTGCTCCATCCCGACCCCCTCAGGAGTGCAACTTCCTGGGCGAGGAGGTGGGCAAGTGCGCCCCCGGCGAGAACTACCACGGGCTGTGGGAGGTGCCGCTGTACCAGGCGCAGATCGGCGGCGAGCTGTATGGCGTGGGAAGTGAGTGGGGCGGCGGGCGGCGGCGCTGGTGGAGGGGCAGGGGCGCGCCGCCCTGCACCCCGGCTGCCGCGGCGCTGCTGGTTACTGCTGGCTGGGCCCCACCCTGCCCCGCTTGCGGCCCTGGGGCTCAACCTTCGGGCACCCGCTGGCCCCCCACGGGACCGCAGCTGGGCATGTCTCATAGCCTTCTGGCCTCCTGCCTCCCCCCTGCCCTCCCTTCCCCCCCGGCAGACTATGCCAGCAAGGAGGCGCTGATGCCGCCCATCCCCACCGACATGGAGTCCTTCCTCAAGGACCTGCTGGACGAGCGGCTGGCCAACAGCAAGGCTCCCCTGTCCATCTCCACCATCTACGGCTGGTAAGGGGCGGGGCAGGGCCGCGCCGGCGGGCCTCCAGCCAGGGCCGGGGCAATGCATGCGCTCGCCGTGCAGCTGCGTTGGGGCGCACGGCCTGCACCCTCCTGCCTGCCAGCCTGCACCCCCCACAAACGCGTCCTGCTTCTCTGCCCCAAACCCCTGCCTCCCTGCGCCGCCCGCCCGCCCTCTCACGCAGGCTGGTGGACGAGAGCAAGAACGTGGACCCCACCTGCAACGACGCCGGCTGCGAGCACCCGCCCAACGACAACGCCAAGGCGCTGTCCGCCTTCATCGACTACGCGCTGAAGAAGCCCGACGTGCGCTTCGTCACCTACTCGGACCTCATCCGTTGGATGCAGGTGGGCTGACGGTGTGCGCTGGGCTGGGGGCGGGGGTGTGCATGCTGGGCTGCCGCGGAAGGATGTGGGGATGGTGCTGCGGCGCTGTTGGGGAGTGTGCCGTGGCTGTGGGAGAGAGGGACAGACCGCGGACGGAGCAGGCTGGGCTGCTGGGGCACGCCTGGCGTGCCGCGACCACAGCATGCCGTGCGGCCCTCCTTGGCCGCTGCTCACCAAAAACCCTGTGCCTGCCCGCCTCCCCACCCCCCGTCCCTCCCCCCACCGCAGCACCCCGTGCCCCTGAGCCAGTTTGATGAGTGGGTGCAGTGCAAGGTGCCCGGCATCAAGGCGGACCTCACCGCCGTCAACCTGACCGACGCGGAGAAGGCCAACTCCTTCTACATGCTGGAAAGCGCGGAGCCGGTGGCGGTGGAGGTGCCCGCCCCCGCGCCCGTGCCCGCCCCCGCGCTTGCGGTGGAGGCCCCCGCCCCCGCCGTGGTGGTGGAGACCCCCGCCCCCGTGGTGGCCCCCGTGGTCACCAAGCCCGTGGTGGCGGCGCCTGCCCCCGCCCCAACCACCGCGCCCGGCAACGGCGCCTCTGCCCTGAGCACGGCGGTGGCCGCCGCCGCCGCGATGCTGGGCGCGCTGCTGCTGGCGCTCTGAGGCGACGGCTGGGCCGACGCCCCGCTCCCAACACCACGCTGACTTTCTAGGCAACACTACTAGGCTACACAGTCTCACTGGACTGACCCTCTCGTACCTCCTCCTCACCCCCAGGCAGGCAGGCCCTGAAGCCGGGCTAGGTGCTAGTGCTGGCCAACCAAAACCCCTTGTATGCAGTCGCAGTCGGCGATCTGCTTGCTGTGTATCTATTGTATGTGCCGTTACTTCGCTCTTCTTGCTGCCAGGCACACAGTCTTACCAGCTCTGATGTAAGACGTATTTGCTGTCCCATGGTGTTGCCAGCGGGATGGCTGGCTGTAGTGGAGGTGGGGGCATGGAGCGATTACAAAGGGGAGAAGACAAGGGCAGAAGGATAGTATCAGGCACCGGTGAAAAGAAATGACAGAGGTAGGGTTACAGGGATTGGGGGTGACGGTGCAAGGATAGCATGGTGGTGGGCGATCTGTGGGCTGGGCTTGTGTGGGGGCAGGCTCTACGGGATGGCTGCAACAGCTTGTAGTGGCGTAGTATCATCGTGTGCTGCTGGCGGGCAGCCCTTGCGGGAGCTGCCGCCAGCTAGCTGGCATTGGCATTGCAAATGGGGGCAGCCGCTGTGTGCGGGCCATCAAAAACGCAGGCTCCACCTCAGTGCTGGCTGTGCTGGTCGGGGGCCTCGCCCTCGCCCTCGCCCCCCTCCTCTGCCTTGCCGCCGTTCAGCTTGAGGAGGAGGGCCTTGCGCTCCGCCTGCTGCGCCGCACGCTCCCTGTCCGCCTCCTCCACCTGCAGTCGGTCGGGTGGTGCAGCAGGTCAGGTGGGCAGCCAGGGATGGAGCATGGGGACTGATGCGCGGGAGCAGGGCAAGGCTGGAACAGCATTCAGAAGTAGGGGAAGAAAGGAGACAGCGGTGGGGCGCCCACCTGGATGCGGATGTTGCGCAGGTTGTACCAGCTGGTCCCAGCATAGATCAGCACAAAGGCCATGATGCCGCGGCCCAGCTCTGGCAGGATGCTGGGCAGCAGAGCCGCCTGCACCGGCGGGCCGCGCTGCCGCCGGCGCCCCATGCTCCCACTCCCGCTCAGCGGGCGGGCGGGGCGGGGTGCCAGGCGGCGGGCGGCAGCGCAAGCGGGCCTGGTGGTGCCGGCTATCATTGTGCGGGCCGGGGAGGCGGCATGCATCATGCTGGCGTCTGAAGTGAGTGGGTCACAGGTGTCAGGCGCAGGATCCCGTGGTAGCAAATTTGGTTCCAGCAATCAGTAGGGAAGGGAACGTGGAAGAAGTGATCGAGAAACGTCGGCCACAAAGCGGTGCATGCAAGCTGTTTCACAACACTCGTGGGACAAGCGCCCGTCCCGTTTTGGCGCCCGGCCGCTGCCAGCTGGCACACATCTCGGTCATCAGAGCAGCCCACCATTCTTGCTGATCATCTGAATTTGGGCCATTGCCGTTATTGAGCAGAGGAACCTGCCGTGCTGCCATGTCAAATCAGTCGCCTGCGGCACCCAGGCAGCCTTGGCGGGCGTGCCAGGCCTCCGGGCACATGGGCGATGCGTCTGCAGAAGAGCAGAAGGCGGCCCAGGCAGCCCCTCCGGCCGGCCCCTCCGCCACCGCTGCCGACGCCTCTCCGCCGACGCCGTTTGACGCCCTCCGCCTGCTCAGCCGCCAAGGGGCGCTGCGCACGGAGGGTTGCCTGCGCCAGCTTCTGTCCAAGTACCATGGCGTTGAGGTGAGGCGGCTGGTAGGCACAGCAGTCCCTCCCTCGCCGCTGCGCTGGGCTGGCAGAGCCCTGTGCTCACGCCAGTCTGCCTGCCTGCTCCCCTTACCTGCAGGGCCTCGTGGCCATGAATGGGGGGCTGCCGCCCCAGGCCTCCTTCCCGCTCACATCCCTCCAGTTTGGGGTGGCGGGCGTGGCTGAGGGCGAAACCGAGGCCGTGGAGCTCAGCCCGGAGCAGCTGGCGGGCAGCCAGCAGTACAACATCGCCCCGGCCGGCTTCCCGCCGCTGCAGCGCTGGGCGGCGGCGCACGTGGCGGCGCTGCACGCGCCGCCGGGGCCGCACCGCGTGCTGCTGACGGCTGGGGCCAGCCAGGGGCTGGAGGTGGGTGGGTGGGCCGCTGCCGCTGCTGGTGCGGCTGCGCGTCCGCAGGACAGACCCTCCTGCCGGCCTGCTGGCTGCTGCCGGCTGCCAATGGCCCCTGCCCCTGCCTGCCCCCTGCCTGCCGCAGCTGGTGTGCTCCCTGTTCCTGGATGACGGCGACTGCTTGCTGGTGGAGGAGTTCACGTACCCGCAGGCAAGGACCCGCAGCGCCGGCCAGCAGGCGGCCAGCAGGCACAGAGGCAGGCGGCAGCCGGGCTGCGTCGGTCGCAGCTGTAAGCCATGGCTGCCTGCTCTGCTCCGGGCGCCCAGCGAGGCAGCAAGCGAGGGGCCGCTGCCGCTTGGCCCTGCCGCTCGCCACCCCCGCCTCCCACCCTCCTCAAGTCTGCCCCCCCTTGCACGATTGCCCCATGCCGATTCATTGCCTGCCGCAGATGCTGGAGTGCAACCTGGCGCCCCGCAGCTGCCGCGTGCTGCCCGTGCCCATGGATCACGACGGCATGCTGCCATTCCAGCTGGAGCAGGCAAGTCTCAGCCTCCTGAGCGCTGCCGCTAATGTGCCCTGCCTGTACAGCACAGCAGCTCACGCAGCCTGCCCGCCTGCCTGCCAGCAGGTGCTGGAGCAGGCGGCGGCTGCGGGCGGTCCGCAGCCCAAGCTGCTCTACACAGTGCCCACGGGTAGGCTGCGGCCACACACACATTTGTGTCTTGGCTGTTGCTGGTGCGTTTTCGATTTTGATTGAGCTGCCAGAGGCGCACACTAGGCTCGGGTGTGCGTACGGGGTGCAGGCCAGAACCCCACGGGCGCCTGCACGCCGCTGGAGCGCAAGCGAGCGATCTACGACATCTGCAGGTGACTGCCTGCTGCCGCAGCTGCCGCTCATGCTGTCATTGCCTGGGCGCAGCGCCAGTTGCGCTCCCATGCCTGCAGCGGCATGCTGCCGGCGGCACAGGACTCCCGTGAGCATCGAGTGACCTTGAACGCTCGACTGTGAACCTTTGGCGCCAACGTCTGCGCTCTCTGCCCACTATCTCTCTTTGCACCTTGGCCTCTGCCTGCCTGCCCGCCTGCCTGCCTGCCTCTGCAGCCGCCACGGCCTGCTGATCCTGGAGGATGATGCCTACCAGTACCTGCAGTTCCCCGCCGGCCCGCTGCGCCCGCCCGGCCTGGCGGGCCTGCCTGCCCGCAGCAGCTACCTGTCTCTGGACACGCAGGGGCGGGTGATCAGGTGGGGAGGTGGGCTGGGGAGGGGCTGGGTGTGTTGGGAGAAGGGTGGTGAGAAGGGAGACCCGCGGGCATCCCAGGGCAGCACCCCAGCGGAAGCCAGGCGCCCTGGCTAGTGCCTGGCTGTCTCCCCTCGCCGCCACCCCACTCCCGAGCATGCCCTCGCTCCACCTCCTGCCTCCTGTTCCCGCCCTCTTCCCTCCCTTCACCACCTGCCCACCCGCGCTTTCTTGCCTTTGTCACCTTTTCCTCCTACCTGCAGGCTGGACACCTGCGCCAAGTTTCTGGCGCCTGGGCTGAGGCTGGGCTGGGCGGTGGCGGCGCCCGCCGTGGTCGGCAAGATGACTGACCTGCTGAATGCGCAGACGCTGGGGCCCTCTGGGCTCAGCCAGGTGCGGGGCGGGGCGATGGGGCGCAGCAGGTGCTGGGAGGGGCTGCCTGGCTCGCCCCCAAGCACACAGCCGCCATCCCATGGCGGCTCCTTTGACCTTGCCTGCCCACCCGGCCACTTTCCCAGGGCATTGCCTACCGCCTGCTGGAGACATGGGGCGGGGAGGGGCTGGAGCGGCACCTGTGGCGCCTGCAGGCGGGCTACGCCGCCTCGGCGGCGGCGCTGCACGCGGCGGCGCGGCGGCACCTGGAGGGGCTGGCTGAGTGGCGGGAGCCGCGGGCCGGCATGTTCATGGTGGGCCTTGCCATTATGCCGCTGGGGCCCAGGGCGCAGGCGATGAGGAGGAGGACTCCTTCCTCGGAGAAGGACTCCTTCCTCGGAGGAGAGGAGGAATCCTGACCGCCAGACTCTGGCTTCCTGACTGGTGCACCGTGGAAGCACCGGTGGGAGCCTGGATTGCCGATTAAACCGTAAACCCTGGCCGGCTGGCCGGCGGCTGGCCTGTGCAGTGGTTGCGGTTGCTGGGTGTGGAGGATGCCAGCGACATCCAGGAGGAGCTGCGGGAGGCAAGGGTGGTGGTGGTGCCGGGCAGGGCGTGCCACCCGCGTGCCAGCGACCCGTCTTTCAGGTCTGCTGCTGCTGCCTGCCGGTCTGGCTGGAGGGCACCGCGTGGCAGGCTGGACGGCAGCTCGAGCTCGCCGCAAAGTGAGCCCGCTGGCCCGCCTGATGCACTCTGTTGCGCCCTGTTGCGCTGTGGTTGCCGCAGGTGCCCCTTTGTCCGCGTGTCCTTCTCGCACCTGCCGCCAGAGGAGCTGGAGGAGGGGATGCGGCGGCTAGGCGCCGTGCTGCACAGCCTGCAGCAGCAGCGGCAGTAGCGGCAGCGGCAGGCGGGGCCGGGCGGCGGGTAGTGGCAGCGGCAGCTGGGGACTGTCCAGTGACTGTCACCGGAGGTCACCTGCCTTGCTGTTGATCACAGGATGCGAGGGCACGCATGTGTATCATTCTCAGTTCTCCATGGGGCACAGGGACGAGAGCCGGCGGTAGTGCTGGTCGGCTACGTTTCAGCTGAGGGTGGCGATGTTTCAATGTATGTGCTGTTGATGTTGGCCTATGCTAGTGCGTAGCCTCCGGTCGCGCCAGTGAGCAGCTCGCTCCCCGCGGCTCGCAGCAACTCAGCGCCAATCGCTGCAGCCCTGCACACATTGGTCGCCATGTACCTGGCGCTGCTGGCCGTCCTGGCAGCCGTTGCGCCGGCGGCGGCGGCGGCGCCGACGTGGTGGCGGCCCAAGCGGTTCAACAAAAACGGCAGCCTGCTGCGATTCAACTACCAACTCTCCGACTCGGGAAGCATCACATACGTGCCTGGGGTGCAAGTGCGCGGGGATGGCGGAGCTGGCTGTCAGCTGTAGCCGCCCGGAGCTGGTGCGGCGGCGATTCTGTGCTTCCCATGCACCCACCTGCCCCTACCCCTCCCCAGGTGTACGCCATCGATTTTGACACCGCCAAGACCGCCATCCCGGTTTTGAAGAAGAAGAACCCGGCCGCACGCGTCATCTGCTACTTTTCAGCGGGGTCCTGGGAGGACTACAGGTGGGCGCCTCAGTACAGTACTTGCATCCCCTGATGTCATCAAGCGCGGTCAACTGGCAGGCAGGGGCGAGGCCAGCGGAGAATGTGCATGCACCAAGTTGTGGCGTGCTGGCTTGCCGGGTCCACCTGCGCCGGCCCCGCACCCTTGCCTGCGGCCGGCCGCCCGCAGGGTGGCGTACGACAAGTCCAGGCGCGGCATCCAGCCCAGCGACTGGGGCGCCACGCTGGGCGAGGACATGGAGGGGTGGGAGGGGGAGCGGTGGGTGGACGTGCGCAGCGCAGCGGTGCGCAGGATCATGGTCAAGCGCCTCAAGTACTGCAAGAGCATCGGCTGCGACGGCGTGGACCCAGGTGAGGCGCCGGCGGCCTGCGCCTGGCTGCGGTCGGGCACACAGGCCTGGCTGGGCCTGCCCTCTGCTCCGCTGCACGCATGCGTGCATGCGCGGTGCAGGCGACGAGCCGCGGCCGACTTTGGCCGCAGGCGAGCTGCCCCTCCCCCACCGGTGCCGCCCGCCCCCGCTGGCGCAGACAATGTGAATGGGCACGAGAACGACAGCGGCTTCGCGCTGACGCAGAGCGACCTGATAAAATTCAACACCTTCCTCGCCAACACCAGCCACCGCCTCGGCATGGGCATCGGCCTGAAGAACGGCCTAGACATGGTCGGCGCTCTGCACCGGCACTTTGACTGGTGAGGGCTCCGGCTCCGCTGTGCTCTTGCCCAGGCCGGCGAGTGGCAGCAGATGGACTGCAGGCGGGCAGGGCTGCGGCTGGCCGTGGTGCCGCACCTGGCTCGGGCCGGGGTGCGCCCACCTGACCCATGTGCCTTGCGCATGCGTGCAGGGCGCTGAACGAGGAGTGCAACGTGTTTGGGGAGTGCGATGTGTACGAGAAGTTTGCCGCCACCAAGCCCATCTTTGGGGTGGAGTACTGCAATGCGTATGCGGTGCGCCCTGGGGCCTGGGTGGCGTGGGGTGGGGTGTGTGCGGTGGCTGTCAGTCACCTTGGGGCGGGCGTGCCGTGTGAGCAGCCCATGCCATATTGTTGCCAGCACGCATGCATCCCCAGCTCATGCGTGGCAGCGGCGGCCCTTGTTCCAGCATAGGGCGAGTGCCGGTGGTGCAGCCTGCTGCGCTCGACAGCCCAGCCCGCACGCCTCCTCTGCTCTGCCGTCTGCTGCAGGAGCTCGGCGTGGACACGCCTGACCCTGCCTGCTTCTGCCCCCGCATGATCAAGGCCGGCTACCAATTCCTGTTCAAAAGGGTGGACCTGGGTGCTGCCGGTATCTCCTGCACCGAGTACTGCGCCAAGTATCCCGCACAGTGCGCCGCCGGGGCCAAGAAAACAGGGTCCTGCAAGGCCCCCAAAACCAACATGTGCAGCCTGGTGCCATCCGCGCCCCAGCTGTGATCAGTGCGTGCCTGCCGAGGCCGGACGATGGTACATTCATCTGCGCTGCCTCCCCTTTATCTCCCCCCTTCTCCATGCCCTCTCCCTTTGATTCCCTACTCATTCCTGCGCCGCCCATCCACTGTCACGCTCGCCCCGGATGCCCCTTGATCTTCCCGTGCGCCAGGTGCTGGTACCCCTCTCCTGGCACGACTCATCTTTGGAGCCTGTCTGTATCCTCATCTGCCTTGTTGCAGGAGGAACGCCAATTTTGAATGCACCCACCGCCCCAACCGCCTGCCCAGGCTTGCCAACCGACCCACGCAGCCACCCGCCGACTGCGACACTTCTGATCACCCTGCTGCCATGTTCACTTGTAACACTGCACTGCTCCCCTGTATCAATTGTCTTTGAGATGGATTTGCAATGCAAAGGCGTGGATCAAATTGATCATCAACTCAGGAGTTTTGACCGGGCGCCACATGGCGTGGCGTCTGTAGGCACTCCTGCTGGTTCCCGTGGTTTTGCCAGCACTGCTTGATTGGATGCAACGGCGGCGCCTCTCCGCTTCTCCGCCGGTTAAACAGCATGCCGTAGCAATGGGGCGGGGGACCAAGAACGGCGAGGGAGGGCGATGGCTGACCCGCCTGCCGCTGCTCTGGCAATGGCTGCTGGTGTTTGCATTCACCGTCATGGTGCTGGTGAGCGATTGTCGGGCTGCGCTGCCCCGCCCACGGTTTCTTTGGTTGCAGGGCGATTGAGTGTCGCCCGCCTTGAACTGCCTGCAGCGGCACTGGAAGTGGCTCAATATGTCATCCCCACTGGAGGACGAGGCGGCGTCAAGCCGTGGGAAGGGCAGCAGGAAGGGGCTGCTGCCCGGCCATGACGCCGATGCCGGCGGCGGCGGCGGCGGCGGCGGCACCGACGTGGCCGGCAAGGAGATGGGCGAGGTGCAAGCTGACTGGCGCGTGGGCGGCGGCGCAGGCAACCGCGTCACCAAGAAGGCCGCCACGCCGCCACGCGGTTGCCCGGTGTCGGTGCCCTGGGACCAACTGCCCCGAGACCCGGGCAAGAAGCGCGCCGCCGTCTTCACGCCATACAACATTGTGAGCTGCTGGCGGGCTGACTGTGGCTGGCTGGCGGCCTGGCAGGGCCCCTGGGGCAGCTGCAGGTGGCTGCAGCTGGCTCCCAGCCTGCGCGGCCGTGCCGTGGTTTGTGCATCCAATACCCACAGCGAATGCGGGGCCCCCACCCGCCCCGGCCACTCTCACCCGGCTGCAGGTGTTTGGCGGCGGCGAGCGCTACCTGCTGTCGGTGGTGGCGGTGCTCCAGGTAGCGGCACCCGCCCGGCAGCGCGCCAGCCCCGCAGCCTGCATGCCGCCGCCCGCCCGCAGCCTGCAGGCCATTCATCTGCGGGGCTGCTGCGCTGGTGCGTGTGCCCCTCGTCAGCGCCCACCACCTGCTGCGCCCGCCTGCCTCCGCCTCCGCCACGCGTGCGCGCCGCGTCATGTACCGGCACACGTACCGCCCACGTGTACCGCAGGACATGAAGTACAACGTGGATGTGCTGGTGTTCCGCCGCAACGTGTGCCAGACCAAGGAGCAGCTGCTCAAGGTGGCGGCAGGGCTGAGGGTGGCCCTCAACCCAGACCTGCTCAGCATACACGTGGTGGGCGCCCAGGGCATCCACCTACAGGTGCGCCCAGCGGCGGGTTGGCAGCGGCGGCGGGCTGGCGGGCCGGGCACGGCCGCACGCGTGCCGCTGCCGCCGCTGCGCCTCAGTGCCGCTGCCGGGCCGCCGCGTCGCGCCAGCTTCCCGCCACCCACCCGCTCTCCCCCCTTGCCTTCCCTGCCCTGCCCGCTCCTCCCTGTGGCCCCCACCTCCCCAGGCCCCCACCACCACCCTCACCGAATACTCTGTGTTCATGTCTCTGGGCAACGACAAGCTGCCCACGTATGCGGGGCTGGGCCACGTCAGCTTCTACATGTGCCAGTTCCCCTTTGACCTGGTGCGCCCGCCCCGCCCGGGCACCACCAAGGCCTTTGCCTCCTACGACTACGTGCTGCTCAACAGCGAGTACACAGACAGGTGAGCGGGGGGCGTGTGTGTGTGTGTGTTTTGTGTGTGTGTGTGTGTGTGTGTGAGAGAGAGAGTGAGAGAGGGAGATGGCTCAGGGAGGGACTGGGGGCGGGTCAGGCGCAGCAGTGCCGGGCTGAGTGGAGGTGGCAGGCTGGTCTGGCGGGGTGGGGTGGCCAGGGTGGGGTGAGCAGGCAGAGGCGCTGGGCGCAGCGCTGGGCACGCTGTGCCAGCCGGCCCACCTCCGACTCTGTGCTGCCTGCCTGCGTGCCTGCCCGCCTGCCTGCCTGCCTGCCTGCCTGCCTGCCTGGCCGGTTGCAGGTGGTACCACGAGTTTGCGGGGCCGCACATCGAGAATGCGCTGCGGGTGTGGAACGCGGCACCCACGGTGGTGGTCCTGCACCCGCCGGTAGAGGTGCGGAGCAGCAGCACGTGCGACTGCCTGGCCTTGCCCACGCCGCGGCAGCGACGGCTGTGCAGGCTGAGAGGAGCCCGCGGCTGCGCTGGGTGTGTCGTGCCAGCGCCGGCTTCCTGTGCTGTACTGCCAGCTGCTGACGGCAGCTGCCTGCCCGCTGCTGTTCTGCGCCCCTGCAGCCGTTCAACAAGCCCCCGGCGAAGAAGGCTGGGGCGGGAGAGGCTGGCGCGCCGCCGCCGCCGCCGCAGCCCGACCGCCAGCACATTGTGCTGCTGGGCCGCTTCTTCAAGGGGCGGCAGAGCAAGGTGCGGCGCAGCCCCGACCCCTGTGCAACGCTGGCATCCACGCACCCGCTCCCGTTGTTCCCGCCCTGGGGCCCATCTGTGTTGCTGTGGCTGTCCTTGCACTGAAGCAGGTTTTGCTGAGTTGCGCCTAAAGCGTGCGCCCGTTCCAATCACTCTGCGCCGCAGGGCCACGCCGCCGCCATCGACATCTTCCGCCAGCTCATGCCCAAGCTGCCTGCCGCCACGCAGCTGCACCTCATCGGCAACCTCATGCCGGGGCACAAGGACTACCTGCAGGACCTGAAAAAGGTGCGCCTGTGTGTGTGTGCTGTGGCTGTGGGGATGCGTAGCTCCCCCATGGGTGGGTAGCAGGCTGGTGGGTGGGCAAGCCGCCTCGCCGCCAACTCCTGCCTGTTTCCTGCTGCCGGCCGCCTGCACGTACCCGCGGGCTTCCCTCCCCCCCCCCCTTCCGCCCCAATGCCCCCTCCCCCTTGTGCCCCGCGCTGTCCATAGAGAGCCAAGGGCCTGCCCGTCCACTTCCACATCGGCGTGCCGTCGGAGACGATAGAGGAGCTGCTGCGCACCAGCCTGGTGCAGTGGCACCTGACGGGCATCGAGCTGGTGGCGGGCGCGGAGGACCCCGCCAGCGAGGAGCACTTTGGCATCTCCATCGCAGAGGGTGGGCCAGGGGCGGCGCTGGGCAGCTGCAGCAGGCTGCCGCGCCACGGCTGGTGGTGCCGCCGGGCTGGCCACCTGGAGCAGCACCCCACGTTGCGCCTACCCGACTGCCCTCCCACCCAACCCAACCAGCACCCACATGCATGCAAGCGCACGCCAACCGCTGCCCACCCCGTCCATGCAGGCATGAGCGCGGGCGTGATCCCGGTGGTGCTCAACCGCGGCGGCGTCACCGACATCGTCAAGCACGGCACCACCGGATTCCTTTGCCAGGATGCAGCGGAGGTAGCAGAGCTGACTGAAGGCGTGTTTGGGCTGGACGACGACAGCCGGCGGCGGCTGCGCGGCAGCGCCACCGCCTGGGTGGACCGCTTCAGCCAGAAGGCCTTTGCCAAGAACTTCCGAATCCTGGCCAATCGCGGCAAGCTGTCCAAGCCCTTCCGCTTCCTGCAGCAGCAGACCATGGGTGGGTGGGTGGTGCGTTGGAGTGAGCGGGCGGGCGGTGCTGGCGGTGTGCAGGCGGTGGGCGGGGCCGCGGGGCGACTCGGCACCTCCTGGCGCTGTGGTGGGAGCAGGCGTGCGGCTTCTAGCGTCTGGTTCTCAGGCTGGTGCGTTCCCGCTGCTGCCCTCCTTGCCCGCCGCAGACTTAGTGCTGGCCCGCTCCTTCAAGCTGCCAAAGTCAGCCAAGAATGCGGCGCTCATCATCGAGCCTCGCCAGCACTATGGTGGGTGGGGTGGGCCTGCGGAGCAATGCGCTGTGTCCCCTGGCTGGGTGACAGGCTGGTGGGGGGGTGGGCGCAGCATGCTCGCCCCCCTGCTCCTCGTGTATCCACCGCACGCATCCCAGCCCTGTATCGCCGCTGTGCCGCAGCTTTTGAGTATGTGGTCAAGAATGTGATGTTCCACCTTGGACCCGAGTGGGCGCTGTGAGCCGCTGCGGCAAGGGGCAGCCCGCTTGCCATGCCATGCCAGCCACCGCCTACCGCCTGGATCTTGCCTGGCGTGGCGTGCTGCGGCCCATTGGTGCGCCCATGGCCGGGCCTCATGCTGTCGTGTGCTCCCCTGTACCACAGGCACGTGTACCATGGTACCGCCAACAACCAGTACGTGCATCGCGCGCTTGCGTCGCTGGAGAACGTCAACGTGAGGGGGTGTTGTTGGGGAGGGGTGCTGTGCGGGGGAGGGGGTGCTGTGTCCCGCAGGCCCAGCTGCTTGGCCCACTCCGACCAGCCTGGCCCAAAACCAAACACGCAGACTTCTGAATGGCCTCTCCCAACTTGTAAACCCTCCCTGCTTCCCTTGTGTGCCCGCCCCAATCGAGCAGTACCACGAGCTGGACACGGTGGGGGTGAGCATCGCCATGCTCAACCAGCTGTTGAAGAGCAGCGACTTCTGGGAGGAGCTGCAGGAGGCGGGCCTGAGCCACGTCCTCTTCTTCCAGACAGACTCCCTGCTGGTGCACGGAAACATCAGCGCTTTCCTGCAGGTGCGCGGGCGGGGCGGGTGCGGCGGCGGCTGCGGTGGCGCCGGTGTGGCCGCAGCCTTTTCCTTCGTCACGCGAAGGCAGCAGGCCGGATGGCACGATTGGTCTTACTCCCGAGCCCGCACGCCTCTCCCTGCTGCTGCCGCACGTTGCCGCAGTACGACTATGTGGGCGCGCCCTGGCACCGCGGCAACGAGCGGTGGGGCCGCGCCCAGAAGCGCATGCCGCACGGCGTGGGCAACGGCGGGCTGAGCCTGCGGTCGGTGCCTGCCATGATGGCCCTCGCCCGCCAGCATGGCAACAACCACAGCAACGCGCAACAGGTGTGTGCGCGGGGAGGGGCGGGGGGGGGGAAGGGGGAGCTGCTGGCCGCCACGACGCGCGGCAGGCGACCCCCGGCTGCCAGTTGGTGCGGCGCGGGGCGGCAGAGGGATGCAGGAGCTGGGCGGGCACGTCGGCGTGGTGGCGTCCACCCTTGCCTGCCTGCCTGGCTCCTTCCCCTCGCCCACACCCCGCGCCAGATCCCCTCGCAACCTCACCTGGCACACTTGCACAGCCACACTAGCACCCTCCCATCCACCCGCCCACCCCATGCGCCCCCGCAGGAGGACTTCTTCTACTCGGAGCTCATGGAGGCGCTGCCAGAGTACCAGCTGCCGCCCCGCCAGCAGGCCTACCAGTTCTGCGTGGAGGTGCCGTGCGACGACATAGAGGCGGAGGCGGGGGGTGTGGCGCGGCCCGGGTCCCCCGTGCTGACACTGCCCGGCGTGCCCATGGCGCTGCACGCCACCTGGTGAGGCTTGCCGGCCCATGCCGCCGCTCACCAGCGATCCTGATCTCTTATCATTTGACTTCCATCAGAGGTTCTGAGGTTCACCATTGGCGCAGGTATTACTTTGTGGGGCAGCCCAAGCGATACGCCGACCTGCTGACCCTGCTGGATATGAGCGTGTGCGGGCCAGAGGCCTTCATGCGCCTGCGCACCGCCTCCGCCTCGCCCACGCCTGAGCTGAAGCAGGCGCGGCTGCGCAAGCTTGCCGCCCAAGAGGACGACGCACCAGGGCAGTAAGGCGCGGAGCTGGGAACGACACGCGCTCGGTTGACCGAGGCGCAGCCGGCGCATGTTGCGACGGCCGCTGACCTGACCGCTGACCTTTATTCTCCCGTGCACTGACTGCATCCCTGCGACTGCATCCCTGTCTTTTCTTGCTCCCTCCCCTCGTCCCCCGCTCGCCTCTTGCTTGCGTGCTTCCTCTCCCGTTTGATTCTTTGATTCAACTTCACTTGACTGCGACATTGCAATACCTACTTGTGGTGCAAAGGCACGTGTACCCTGTGATGACGGGGAGAGTACCGCCCCCGAAGAGGCTTGAAGCTGAGCAGAAGCTGGGCCGAAGCTGGGCTGCAGCTGAGCATTA